CTTGTGCGTTGGCAAGTGGATTTTTTTACCTCTGAGCTATCATGGAAGCCAAATAACTTAAAATAGGCCTCATTAATAGTGTAATGTAAATCCTGTGGACATTTTTCTATGCTTCCACCCATTGTCAGAATGGCACTATATATAGTCTGATTTTCAATTGCTTACTTTATTTAACAGTAAACTATAAACAACATTCTGTTTTTTAAATATATTTATATATCTTGCATCTGCTATAATTCACTTAACAGCTATATTATTTTAGGTGTGTTGGTTTTTATTCCTTACAGTCTGTCGGTCTGTTCTCCTTAGTTCTTTGAATTCATCACTAACATTCCCATATTTCCATTGTTTTAAACATTGGCTGCTGTTTCCTCTATTATTATTGTGGGACTGTAGGCTGAGGACCTAGAGGTCTCATACCTGATGGTTCCAGCAGCCTCAGTGAGGATGGAGACACAGGTGCCCTCGTTCAGTCTGTGGCTGCAGACCTGAGTCAGCTCCCTTCTGCCTCAGTGTTTGGTGACCTTTTGGAGAGAAGTCCTCTGTCTCTAGATGTCTAGACTTCCTCCTTGGAGGGGTTAATATTGTCTTCCGGGAATTCAGAGTCAGGGTCTGGTTTGGGCACAGATTGGACTCTGGAGAGAGTTGATGCTCTCCCATTTATTTTACGGTAAGCAAAATTTGGATTGAACATTTTAGTGCACTAGCTGGATCTAGCCCTTTATGAGCCCCTGACTATAAGCTCCCTGACAGCAGGGACTGTGTCTTGTTCACCCTGGTGTCCCTAGCCCCAGCATAACCTGTACCCATACCATTGCTGAAAGAAGAGTCAGAGTCCACCAAGTCCTCCGTCCTGGACCAGCGAACCTCAGTGTCTCTCTTGAGCTCAGCAGCTCCCCCTCCTGCAACCTCAGGAACTTGAAACCAGAGACCACGCGCTGCACTTCCCTTTGTTTTGTTTTGTTTTTTATTAGTTGGAGGCTAATTACTTTACATTATTGTAGTGGTTTTTGTCATACATTGACATGAATTAGCCATGGATTTACGTGTATTCCGCATCCCGATCCCCCCTCCCACCTCCCTCTCCACCCGATCCCTCTGGGTCTTCCCAGTGCACCAGGCCCAAGCACTTGTCTCATGCACCCAACCTGGGCTGGTGATCTGTTTCACCCTAGATAATATACATGTTTCGATGCTGTTCTCTTGAAACATCCCACCCTCGCCTTCTCCCAGAGTCCACAAGTCTGTTCTATACATCTGAGTCTCTTTTTCTGTTTTGCATATAGGGTTATCGTTACCATCTTTCTAAATTCCATATATATGTGTTAGTATACTGTAATGGTCTTTATCTTTCTGGCTTACTTCGCTCTGTATAATGGGCTCCAGTTTCATCCATCTCATTAGAACTGATTCAAATGAATTCTTTTTAATGGCTGAGTAATATTCCATGGTGTATATGTACCACAGCTTCCTCATCCATTCGTCTGCTGATGGGCATCTAGGTTGCTTCCATGTCCTGGCTATTATAAACAGTGCTGCGATGAACATTGGGGTGCACGTGTCTCTTTCAGATCTGGTTTCCTCGGTGTGTATGCCCAGAAGTGGGATTGCTGGGTCATATGGCAGTTCTATTTCCAGCTTTTTAAGAAATCTCCACACTGTTTTCCATAGTGGCTGTACTAATTTGCATTCCCACCAACAGTGTAAGAGGGTTCCCTTTTCTCCACACCCTCTCCAGCATTTATTGCTTGTAGACTTTTGGATAGCAGCCATCCTGACTGGCGTGTAATGGTACCTCATTGTGGTTTTGATTTGCATTTCTCTGATAATGAGTGATGTTGAGCATCTTTTCATGTGTTTGTTAGCCATCTGTATGTCTTCCTTGGAGAAATGTCTGTTTAGTTCTTTGGCCCATTTTTTGATTGGGTCATTTATTTTTCTGGAGTTGAGCTGGAGGAGTTGCTTGTATATTTTTGAGATTAATCCTTTGTCTGTTGCTTCGTTTGCTATTATTTTCTCCCAATCTGAGGGCTGTCTTTTCACCTTGCTTATAGTTTCCTTTGTTGTGCAAAAGCTTTTAAGTTTCATTAGGTCCCATTTGTTTATTTTTGCTTTTATTTCTAAAATTCTGGGATGTGGGTCATAGAGGATCCTGCTGTGATTTATGTCGGAGAGTGTTTTGCCTATGTTCTCCTCTAGGAGTTTTATAGTTTCTGGTCTTACATTTAGATCTTTAATCCATTTTGAGTTTATTTTTGTGTATGGTGTTAGAAAGTGTTCTAGTTTCATTCTTTTACAGGTGGTTGACCAGTTTTCCCAGCACCACTTGTTAAAGAGGTTGTCTTTTTTCCATTGTATATCCTTGCCTCCTTTGTCGAAGATAAGGTGTCCATAGGTTCATGGATTTATCTCTGGGCTTTCTATTCTGTTCCATTGATCTATATTTCTGTCTTTGTGCCAGTACCATACTGTCTTGACTTCCCTTTGATTCATTCAGCCGTCAAGCAGAGAGGTAGTGCTCACCTGTGGGTGGCAGGAACTCGGGCCAGGGAGTGAGAAATCCAAATGTTAAAGCCCATTATTAAGAGTTTTGGACACATACACTGTATATTCTATAGGCACATGTCTATGAATCATGTTTAATGTATCTGTTTGTGCCCATTCCCTGATCAACAGCCATCAACCAAGTCTGCACCACTCACATGATGCCCTTCGACTAATTCTCCATGCATCTGAAATCACATTGTCTGTAAATATTCCAGTATAGTCTCCAAAATAGGGACGCTAAAATACACAGAACCACAATGCCATTATTAGTTACTCCAAATCCACGTATTTTCTTAATATATTCAAGTATTGAGGAGTCAAATTTGAATTGAGCAGAGGTGTAACCATCAAGGACTTTATAGATTTGTGGAAATAATAGACACAGATATCAGTGATTGAACCAGAGTAGAGTTGAGTCATATGCCCACATAAATCTATTGACTTCAACATCCTCTGTATGTGGGAGGAAGAGACACACATACACAAGAGGAGGGGAAGGGAAAACAATTGAAAACTAACAATTAAAATATTCAGAGACATTTCTCCTGCTTCCTTCATCTCTGAGCACATGGCCAATGTCAGTGTTTACGGAGGCAAGAACCCACTCTTCCTTCAATCAGTCTCATTTCCTAACTGTCTTTCAGAGCCTGAACATGTCACCAACTTGAATGTAAATTTAATATTTAAAGATGCATTTTCTTTAATCATCCTTCATCTCATCTGTTCACCAGGACTGAAAGCTCCTGTGGGGTCTGGGGAATAGGAAGGCCCTGGGGCTTACCTTTCTGACAGCAAAATCACCACAGCAGGATTCAGTCCTCTGCCCACAGGAGTCTCCCTTATGCTACTGGTTGAGGGTTTAAGCTGAAACCTCAGACCTGGAATTCCTGTGACTTTTCTGTTTCATTCACTTTTTCATCTACTGTTGTGGATCCAGGTTCAGTAAGAAGAACAAGGACAGCATAAATCCTTACGTCTACCTGCCTTTTGGATCTGGACCCCGAAATTGCATTGGCATGAGGTTTGCTGTCATGAATATGAAACTTGCTGCCGTCAGAGTCCTGCAGAACTTCTCTTTCAAACCTTGTAAAGAAACACAGGTCAGCAGTTCGCTCTGCATAGTGTTTTACTGAGAATTTTTTCAAGTGAGATGTGTCTGTCTGTGTCTATAAAATTGTGATCTTTTCAGATAACAATTTAGTTTACTAGACAGAGAATCTGTTTGAAGCCATCTGTGACCTTTAATTGTCAACCATCCCTGGAGGGCTAGGTCTGTGGCTTCATAAAGACCCAACTGTAAAGGTCATCTAGAGTCAAGCAGTTAGCACGACATGACTGTACAAAGTCCAGTGAACTTGAACAACTTTTAAAATGTGGAGTCATGTCCACTGGAAGGAAGGAAAGTGGACAAAGTCGGGAGAGCAGTGATGACCGTGTCATGACTCTTCAGTGATGCCCTTCTCCATGGGGACTTACAGAAGCTCTCCTGACAGTGATTCTCAGCCACTGTTTGTATAAAGAAATTACTGGGGAGCAATAGCCCGATGCCGAGGTCATCTCAGCGTCTCTAAAATAATTCCCCCAGGGTGTGGCATTGAGAGCACCCCCACTGATCCTCCTGTGCAGCCACAGTGATCCCTGAGTGAAAGCATTTCTGCCAGATGGGAAGGCTTCCCACAGCCCCTCACCTGCCAGGGATCCTGCTGCCATCCAGCTGGGCTCCCTTCACATTCTAAAAATGACTGTGTGTGTCCTTCCTGTCCACCCTCCAGTCCGTTCTCCCCCTTCGAGTTCCAGTGCAGTCCCGAGCCCCTCCATGCAGCCTGCCCGTCCAGGCCAGTGCCCACTCTCCCCTCTGCTGTGTTTATAGGTGCCACAGGCTGGCGTCATGGGTTCTACCACCTAACTTAATACTGCATCACTGAACCATCCAGTTTGGTTCCTTTGTTTTACTTGCACCTAAAAAGATCTTTAACTGTATCCCCTCATTTATTCCTTCCATAAATGCCCAGTGGTGCCTTGATGTCATCAGGGCAGTGTTTAAGGAGTGACTTGCAGTTGATTAGAGCTCTTGGACACAAATTTGAAACAGTTTCAACTTTAAAAATTTAACAAATATCATTTGTGTACTTCCTTGTTTTACAGGTCTGTGTGTGTGTCTATCTGTAGGAAAAATGCATACCATTTGAAAGTTTAAAATAACAATTTGGTGCAGTTATAGAAAGACCTGAAACCTCTCCACTCAGGAGCACACAGAACAGCTGCCATTGATTCTTGTCAAGCACGGCCCTTTAATAAGCCTTATTTCTAGGAGTCACACATTTGATAAGCAGCGGCTCCCCTTGAGTAGCTTTCTTGGGGAAGAGGAGGACAGAGATGTTTCCATCTTACTTTCAGGCATCTGTGTGGTTGTCCTGTAAGGGCAAGCACACAGGGGACTCGGCTCTGAGAGAAAGGGGGCCTCGGGCACATCTGGGAAGCGCAGATGCCCCCGGTAAGCCCCACCCAGTCCCCCCCAGACTGGAGCTTCCCCTCCACAGACACTTACTTGTCCTTCAGCCAGCTGAGGTTAGGTTCCCCCAACACAGAGGGAGTGACTAGATGAGAAAGGGGCTAAAAATCTCAGACAAAACACTGTAGATCATCAGAGGTTCACCATTTGTACTACGATTGGGAACCAAGGGATCTTTAAAAAAAAAAACAGGCATAATGCTTCATAGGCATAGTGCTCAGTTTTTGTGCAAAATGAATGATGAATGGCTCTATCCAGTCTTGACATAACTTACACAGTAAGTACACAGAATCAAAGATAAAGAGGGGAATCTGGATGCATGTGATCAAAAGGTACAAACTTCTGGTTATGATAAATAAGTACAGGGATATCGCATAAAATGTGATGGTTATGGTTTTTAGACATTTTTAATATAATTAAAATAAAATTATAAAATTTTAGACCTAAATTTTAACATAAAATTATAGACATTTTTATGTAGTAGAAGAGAACAGATCCTAAAAGTGCTCATGAGAGGAAAATAGTATTTTTTATTTTTCTATCTCTATGAGTCGATGGATGTTAACTAAACTTATTGTGGCTGTAATTTCATGATATATGTAAGTCAAATATTTATACCATAAATCATTTATATCTCAATAAGTTGGAATTAAAAAATATATTAAGTGAATAATAATAATAATAAGTGAATAATAAGTGAGTACTAGAAGTGACTTTGTGCCCATATATTTTATAACATGTTAAACAGACCAATTTTCTTAAAGTCATAATCTATTAAAATTGAATCAAGGAAATATTGGCAGTCTGCCCCTCCCTATAGCTATTGAACACATTGAATTGGTAAGTTTAAAAAAAATCAAAAATACACAATGCTAAAAGTAGCTTGTATATTGTTGTAAAGCATTATTGTCAGAAATGTATCTTGTCTACTTTGCTTCTCTTATTGGAGGTGCTTCATTCATTGGTTCTCTTATGCTTGCTTAACTTTGCAGATCCCCTTGAAAATAAGCAGTCAAGGACTTTTAAGACCAGAAAAACCTGTTGTTCTAAAGGTTGTGCCCAGAAGTGGAACCATAAGTGGAGCCTGACTTTCCCTAAAGACCTGGGCTTTATTCTTCAAGAAGCTGTGTCCCAGAATTTCAGGGGGGTTGATTTACTTTGTAGTAAAACTCAGAAATAAAGATGGGCTTCATTTGTTGTACCTGCTGGATGACTAGGGTATCTGCACATTTGTTTAGCTTTCTCAGTGTCTGTGTTTTTATATATTGTGTAACATGAAAGAGGTGAGTAATGAGGGCTGGATACGTACACTCAGCTTATCTGACTCTCAAAGGACCATCTCCACCCACCGGCAGTTAGTAACATCTACTCCAGAGCGCTAATCAAGAAAGGAAAATGTCTCAACAGTTTTATCAGCAAATTAATGAAAACAAGAATTATTGTGGTAGCTGAAGTTCTGACATTTATTTATATATCACAGGTTTTATTTTATATATCCCAAATCAAATATTCTATTGAGCAGCTCTATAACAACTCTTTACAAAAGCGTTATTTGATACTTTTAATACATCCTGCACTTTAGGGGGAATGTGTACAACTGAGTCAGGGAGAGCCAGTGACCAAACACTTGGCCATCACAATCCCTGGTGGGTGGGGACTTTTTCAAAACTGCTGTTTGTTATGTTACATGGGTAAGAATTAATCCACAGTGATTTTGCCCATTTCTTAGAGAGTATGTTCATAGTTTAAATCTACGTTTTTTGAGCACATATTTTATATAACAACAGACACACATATACTATTAGCTTTGATTAAAAAATTTCATCCCATCTCCCCTGATATTTCTAGAAGGCAGGAAACGGGTTTTCTTGAAGTGTCTTTGTATTCCACCCTCAACTCCCAACTGTCTTAACACAAGGAACATGGAATAAAAGATGGTTGGTCAGTCAGTTGATTGGGGAGAAAGGCTACAAGCACTGCTCACTTTCCGTTGATACCAGAAGCTGCACACGGTCCTTCCTTTCCCATTTCTGCCCCTGCCATCCACAACCCCTTCCTTGCTAGCCTTTTCCTCGATAGTCCAGTCCTAAAGTCATTGAGGGAGCACAGACAGTGGGCAGCCTTGCATTCAGGGTGGGGCAGAGAAGGGGCGCTTAGCGGCTCCAAGTTGTAGGCTGCGTAGAGAGGGGACAGTATCCACAGAAACAGCAGCCTGGCATGATTGTGGGAACATAGGCTAGGAGAAAGGAGTGTCCACCCTGAAGAGTGGTCTGGCCAGGGCAGCCAGAGACTAAATAGGATGTGGAGGTCTGAGGAGGATGAGGAGGGCACCATGAGTAGAAAGGGGTTTGAGTGGCAATAGCTACATAAAGGGGGATTGATCAAGTAAATAAATATATTATGGATAATGCTACTATAGAAGAGCAGAGAAATAGTTCCAGAAGGAATGAAGAGGCTGAGCCAAAGCGGAAATAACATGCAGTTGTGTTTGTGTTTGGTGGTGGAAGTAAGGTCCAATGCTGTAAAGAACAATATTGCATAGGAACTTGGAATGTTAGATCCATGAATCAAGGTAAATTGAAAGTGGTCAAACAGGAGATGGCAAGAGTGAACATCAACATTTTAGGAGTCAGTGAACTAAAATGGACATGAATGGGTAAATTTAATTCAGATGACCATTGTATCTACTACTGTGGGCAGGAAGCCCTTAGAAGAAATGGAATAGCCCTCATAGTCAACAGAAGAGTCTGAAATGCAGTACTTTGGTAAAATCTCAAAAATGGCAGAATGATTTCAGTTCATTTCCAAGGCAAACCATTCAGTATCACAGTAATCCAAGTCTCTGACCCAACCACTAATGCCAAAGAATCTGAAGTTGAATGTTTCTATGAAAGACCTATAAGACCTTCTAGAACTAACTCCAAAACACCAGTCCTTTTCATCATAGGTGACTGGAATGCAAAATTAGAAGGTCAGGAGATATCTGGAGTAACAGGCAAGTCTGGCCTTGGAGTACAAAATGAAGCAGGACAAAGTTTAGCAAAGTTTTACCAAGAGAACCCACTGGTCATAGTAAACACCCTCTTCCGACAACACGAGAGCTGACTCTACACATGGACATCACCAAATGGTCAACGTTGAAATCAGATTGACTATATTCTTTGTAGCCAAAGATGGAGAAGCTCTATACAGTCAGCAAAAACAAGACTGGAAGCTGATTGTGGCTCAGATCATGAACTCCTTATTGCCAAATTCAGACTTAAATTGAAGAATGTAGGGAAAACCACTAGGCCATTCAGGTATGACCTAAATCAAATCCCTTTTGATTATACAATGGAAGTGACAAGTAGATTCAAGGGATTAGATCTGATAGAGTGCCTGAAGAACTATGGACCAAGGTTTGTAACATTGTACAGGAGGCAGTGATCAAAACCATCCCAAGAAAAAGAAATGCAAAAAGGCAAAATGGTTGTCTGAGGAGGCTTTACAAATAGCTAAGAAAAAAAAAGAAGCAAAAGGCAAAGGAGAAAAGTAAGATACACCCAATACCCATCTGAATGCAGATTTCCAGAGAATAGCAAGGAGAGATAAGAAACGCTTTTTAAGTGAACAATGCAAAGAAATAGGGGGTAAAAATAGAATGGGAAAGATGAGAGATCTCTTCAGGAAAATTAGAGATACCAAGGGAATATTTCATGCAAAGAAAGGCAAAATATAGGACAGAAACGGTATTGACCTAACAGAAACAGAAGATATTAAGAGGTGGGAAGGAAACACAGAAGAACTATACAAAGACTGACTCAGACAAGCACGATGGTGTGATCACTCACCTAAGCCAGACATCCTGGAGTGTGAAGTCACAAGTGGGCCTTAGGAAACATCACTACAAACAAAGCTAGTGGAGGTGATGGAATTCCAGTTGAGCTATTTCAAATCCCAAAAGATGATGCTGTGAAAGTGCTGCACTCAATACGCCAGCAAATTTGGAAAACTCAGCAGTGGTCACAAGTTCAGTTTCATTCCAATCCCAAAGAAGGGCCATGCCAAAGAAAGTTCAAACTGCCACACAATTGCACTCATTTCACACGCTAGCAAAATAACGTCCAAAGTTCTTCAAGCTAGGCTTCAACAGTATGTGAACTGAGAACTTCCAGATACACAAGCTGAATTTAGAAAATGCGAAGGAACCAGAGATCAAATTGCCAACATCCATTGGATCATAGACAAAGCTTGAGAATCCCAGAAAAACATCTACTTCAGCTTCATTGACTACACTAAAGCCTTTGACTGTGTAGATCATAAAGAACTGTGGAAAATTCTTCAAGAGATGGAAATACCAGACCACCTTACCTGCTCCCTGAGAAATCTGTATGCAGGTCAAGAAGCAACAGATAGAACCATACATGGAACAACAGGCTGGTTCAAAATTGGGAAAGGAGTATGTCAGGGCTGTATACTGTCATCCTGCTTATTTCACTTATATGCAGAGTACTTCATATGCAATGTCAGGCTGGAAGAAACACAAGCTGAAATCAAGATGGTGGGGAGAAATATCAATAACCTCAGATATGCAAATGACACCACCCTTATGGCAGAAAGCAAAGAGGAAATAAAGAGCCTCTTGATGAAGGTGAAAAAGGAGAGTGAAAAAGCTGGCTTCAAACTCGACATTCAAAAAGCCAAGATCATGACATCTGTCCCATCACTTCATGGCAAATAGATAGGGAAACAATGGAAATAGTGAAAGACTTTATTTTCTTTGGCTCCAGAATCACTGCACATAATGACTGCAGCCATGAAATTAAAAGACATTTTCTCCTTGGAAGAAAAGCTACAATAAACCTAGACAACGTTTTAAAAAGCAGAGGCATTGCTTTGCCAACAAAAGTCCATCTAGTCAAAGCTATGGTTTTCCCAGTAGTCCCAGCAGGAATCTGCAGTAGGAGTCCTGTTCAGAGCCCGGAGCTCGGGACTGGTGCCCTGGGATGACCCAGAGGGATGGGATGGGGACGGATGTGGGAGGGGGATTCAGGATGGGGAACACATGTAAATCCATGGCTGATTCATGTCAATGTATGGCAAAACCAATACAATATTGTAAAGTAATTAGCCTCCAACTAATAAAAAAAAAAAAGGAAAAAACAGAGCGCTGAGCTCGTACAGCTGGACAGACCCCCCCAACCCCAATTAGTATCCAGGAAATAATATCCCGAACACTTATGACTCAGTGCCTCTTCATGCAGCAGGGGGGAAAGGAGACATGTAAACATAATAAGAATGAAAAAGGTAAAGATTCAGAGTCAGCAAACTCCCAGCCTTTTTTAAAATTTATTTTTCACCTACAACTTGAACTCATGTCTCCTTCTGCTAACAAACAACACAGTTCATAACTTGCTTACTCTATAATGCTTGCCTTTTTTGGCTAATTCTTGAACTCGTATGAGCTCATGTGAGTGAACATTTCTAGAGGGTTTGCTAAGGATCAGGTGTGTGATGGGCAAGGTCACATGTTCTCTTCCTCCAGTGACACCGGGACTCTGACCTGCAGGTTCAAGCCTCAAGCCCCTCAGGTCACAGATCAGGGTCTGGTCTGATCTGGGCTCCTATAGGAAGCGAAAGACATAGTTATCAACCCTCATTCTACAGATCAGGCAACTGAGGCTGAGCAGATTTAAATAATTCAACTACGGCCTGCACACCAGTCACATTCTGTGGATGCTTCTAGGCAGCTGTGTACACAGTAGAGAGAATAGGTGTCCCAGGAGCCCAGAGAAGCCTCAGGGACCTGGTGGACCAGGTTCCCAACCACACCGTTCACTTGCCCTCTCTCCCTCTGGCAAATTCTCACAGATTATTAACTAACATTGTTACAAAAAGTCAGAATCCCAGAAATTTTACTATATCACAACCACTAAGATTCTCATGTTAAAAAAGGGAAAACGAAAGTGTTGGCGACAATGTAGAGGAAATGTGGAAACCTCAGCTGTTGCCAGTGGGAATGTAAAGGTGCAGCAAATCTGTGGAACAGTTTAGCAGCTCCTCGGGTATTTAAGCATAGAATTACGGACTGTGTTGTTTGTTAGTTGTATGACTGCACAACTGCACTCCTGAGTAGATGCCTAAGAGAACTGAACACAATTTCTCAAACAAATACATACACCTGCATGTTCATAACACCACTATTCACAATAGCTAAAGGGTAGAAACAAG